CTTCTCCAAGACTGATTTGAAATGCATAGTTCCCTCCTGCCCTACCAGCTTTATTAAGTAACTCTGTAGGGGGCACTCAGCTAGAAGCCATCCCCAATAAATTAGCCAACCCACCACAAGGAGATGCAGGCTGGCAAGTAAAGAAGGATTACCCCTAGGGCACACTTTCAGAGGATCTACTGACAACTGAGGTGAGAATCATTCCACAACTGTCAAGACACCAGGTGTCTCTCCCACTCCAATCCCTAATTCGGTCTGTGGAAGGGAGACACTTGTACTCAATGCTTTATTTGGGTGTTTGTGTGTGCATGTAAGTTGCTATTTCCAGGGATCTGAGTCCTTCTGCATTGCCTTTGTTAAACCCAGGATCCCACTTTGATCCTTCTTCAGCTGCACCCTTCTCAAAAATGCAAAAGTGAACCATAGTGCTAAGAAAATAATGCACCATTTGTCTCTCTTCTAAAATGCTCAACTTGATCTCCATTTCCAGGATTCTCATTGCATCTTGGGACCTCCAAAGCCCTTCTCTTATTCCCCAAGAACCCCAAACACTGGCTAGAATATTCCACACTGCTCTTGCCCCTTCTGAATGCAGAGCTCCAGAGAGGCCGACCCCAGGAAGAGGAAGAGGTAGAGGAAACCTATGGATCTCTTTCAGACTCATTTCCTGATTTCCATTACAGGTGTCCTGCCACCACCACTACCATGATGGGTTTTATTTCTGTATCCACCTCAAAGTGCTCCACTGCTAGCCCAGCCTACGAGCCAGTTTTACCTCTTTGTTGAGGTACTCATGTGTCTCACATCTCTTATGCTTCTAGCTTTCTTTCTTTTTCAATATTTTTGTTTAATTTAGAGAGAGGAAAAGAGAGGGGGAGAGATAGAAACACTAATGAGAGAGAAGCATCAACATTAATCCATTGCCTCCTGCACATTCTTCAGGCATGAGACTGAACAAAGGGGCTGGGAATTGAACTGGTGACCTCTTGGTGCATGGGTCAACACTAAACTACTGAGCAACACAGCCAGCCTGCTTCTAGCTTTCTAAACTCAGTCTAAGTCTATTTCATGTCATTTGGTATCTAGCGTCCACTCTGGAGAAGCCTTCTCTGATTGACTACAGAAAAAGTAGCAAATTCTCCCACTAGCCTCTTTGCATTGGCACCCCACACACTAGCTGCCTTTAAACATACATCCCTTTCCTGTAGCCAATTTTACTGCAATTCACTTCGACTTGCTGTCTGTGTGTTCTTGATCCCTATCAGCCTCCGTGATGTCTGGGTTAGATTGTGCAGCTCCCAGAGGGCAGGGCCAGAGCAGCAGGCATAGGTGGGCACTTAATATTTTTGATGGTGGAAGCAGAGGAGCAGCACTGTGCCTAGACCATTGTGAGTGCACAAGAAAACAACCCACTAACACAGATCACAACCATAGCACTCCTCCTGCCAGACTGGGCTCCAGGGCACATTTTTCCTTTTAACGAGGCAGGGGTAGCATTCTTGCATTTGAGACGACAACAACAACACATTGTGACAGCACTGATGCTCAGAATGGCCTTATACTTTGGGGGCTATCAGCATTATTCCAACTTTAAAAATGAGAACCCCAGGCACAGAGAGGCTATACAATTTGCTCAGACCTCAAACTAGGACCATCTGGCTTCATGAGCTGGGTCCCAGAACTGGGGCCCATGAGTCCTCCGCTAACCCACCAGGGTTCACTGTCCCTCAAAGTGAACTAGACATGGAGACTGAAGGATTGGTGAGTGGGCTCTTGTCTCATACTCTCATGAATCTTGACCCTGACCCAACCTGCATAGATGGCTGAGAGGAGGAGAGTGGGGACTTGGTCAGCTTTCTAGGGTGAAGCCAAGTTGTCTCTCAAAGCATTTGTTCACACCTGCTCATCGTCCTCCTCCTGTTTCTCAAACATGCTCAGCTTGTTCGCCCTGAGGCCTTTGCACTTGCAGTTCCCAGCCCCTGAAATGATTTTCCTCAGACCTATGCATCTCATCATGTAGGTGTCCGCTCAGAGGGCACCTTCTTAGGAAGACTGTTCCTGATCACTGTATCTAACATAGCTGCCTCTTTCCCAAGCCCCGCCCCCTTTCATTCTTGTCTGACTCATTTTCCTGTTTTACTTTCATCAAGGCAGTCAACACCATCTGAAATCACTTGATTTATCTAGTAGTTTATTTGTCAATTTCTCTAGTGATAGAGACTGTCAAATTCAAGAGAGCAGAGATCTCAGCTGTTTTGTCTATTCCTGGATACTCAGTGCCTAGAACAGCATCTGGCACACTGTAAATGCTGAGTTCATGTGCATTAAATGCATTTATGAATGACTGGTATAAAATTCTGTATAAGTATATGACACTAGCTGGATCTTTCAGTTGTCCCTCATCATGTATATTGGCAGGAAGAGATCACATCTTCGTGCCTGGCAGTCTTAGCCCTTGGAGTAGTGGCAGATGACAGGGGAGCAGTTTGGTCCCTTTGTTTGACTGCAGGGAAGAGACCAAGACATTCAGCCCTGAGATTACAGTCTGTCTGCATGCCTTTGAGGGTCACATGTGGACAATTGCTGGACAGCTCTCTTCCTGATCAGAAAGAAACTAAGATACTGGAATCTCAGCTTCTCCACCCCCACTCTTCCTCTCCCTTCTCTAGAAACTTTCCCCTATCTCCTCCCTCTTTTGTCTCCCTTACTTATTGAAATGCTGAGGGGGAAAATGAAGAAAGTGGAGAAATGCGTTCCATACATCTAAGCTATAATACATTGCTTTAATACTTCTATAACACGTTCTCATTATAATCTCATAGCTCCTGCACAGATAAAGCAAACCCCAAAATGTAATGATAATATGCAGGAAATACTTGATTTGATCCAGTCTTAATGCTGTCACAATATCCTATTTCTCCCACATAATAACAGAGTCCCTTCCTCTCTCAGTATTGTTAGCTTTTTTAGTCAATGCTTTCTTCATGAGAATAATCGAGAAAGAAAATATTTTAATCTCTGACCCAACCCTGTAGCACACAAAGTGTTTCACAATATGCTTAATGATGTCATTCTTTTTCTTTTCTCAACAAAATACTGCTTTTTCATGATCAAAATGCATGCAATTATTAATTCCTTTCAAGGCATTTTCATGCTCATTATCTCCTGGATCTTCTCAACAAATATCATAAAAGAAGGGTGAGCAGAAAAAGGTGGCTTGAAATCACAGAAGTGGAAAAGGAACCCAGTGACATAAAGCTGTATGGACTGCACATGCCCATCAAAGTAGGCTCCAAATCATGGTGTTCTCTATGTACTAGGGTACTTCCAGCAGCCCATGTGATATGCAGCCCTGAGCCAGTCCAAATGGGAGAAGAAAGAAATAGCTTAAGAACTTAAGAAACTAAGTAATTCTTTCTTTGGGAATGGATGAGGCTCTTAATTGGGGCAAGATCCTAACCAAATGGTCCCCAAAGCAAGATTCCCTCTTGCTCTCAGCCAAGCCACTCTGCCTTGTGTCTCTGCAGGAGACTCAGCACTGGAGGTGACATGAGGGCTGGAAAAAGGGCACGGAGTAGGGACCCTGGACCTTCTCCCCTAACCGAAGTCCTCAACTCTGGGCAGTACTTTATTTGGGACTTCAGGCAATCCTCATCACAAGAAGAAGGAATCCAGCCCTCAAACTCTCAGAGATATCTATTCATCCGGATATCTGCATCACCTTCCCTCACAATGCCCAGGGTGTGGCCTCAGTCATTACCTGTACATGAAGTACTTTCTCCATTTAGAGCAGAAATAAATGAATGAAAATGTCAGCCAGGCCTGCCTCTTACAGAGCAAGCCCCCACCAAACACCAGGACTACTCGGGACGCCAGCATGGCCATTTGTTTAGAGAGCACCTACAAGTCTTCCCTCCACATCCAGGAAATCTGCAAAGAAGTGGCTGATGTGATAACATAACCCGGCCCAGGGCCCAAGTAAGTATTCTTTCCCCAGAATGACTAACTAGATCTGATGTTCAGATCTGGATTCTGTGGAAAGAGTTGCCACAATATGACTCTGGAAGAATGTGCACTTGCTATCCAGCACTGCAGAGAGTAGACTGAAAGTGGAGCTCAAAGGGGTGGGGTAAGCACGTCTGTGAAAATCTGAATGAATGGGGTAGTGAGATCTCTCAGACTCGGAAAGACTCTGGTCTGTGAGGTACTTGCCATCCTCTACCCTGGATGGGGAGACTGGAAGGGACCATCTCAGTTGATGTGTTTCAGGCCTGAGAAGGGGAATAGATACAACAAGATTCTCTATTAGTTTCTCTATTTCCCTTAAATTCACTCTCACCCCACTTACCTACCAGCTTTCAACCTAGGAAACACAAGTCTGCCAAGAAGTGTCTTAGCAAACTGTAGTCTCCTTGGACCTAGAGTCCTTCTTCATTTCCTCTTCAGTGATTAAAACACATTGCTGAGAAGGCAATCTAAAATAGGGGGAACAGTCTCTCCATGAAGGAACAGGCACAGGTTCATTGGGTTTCAGTCTATAAAAATAGGGAGAGTGGACAAGATCTCTGCTCACTTTCATGGAGGGAAGAAGTTTGAATCTGGGACTGAAGACGAGCTGGGGAAAATGCCACTCACAATAAATCAGACCAAAGGACATTTCACAAGTGTGAGTGGACCACCGAGTTCCGTCATTTTGTTGCTCCTGGCTTCTGGATCTTCTATTTTGATGACACTTGGGGAATTTTCACATGGAACTGAAGATACGAGCTTTGGAAGGAAAATGCAAACACTGGGATACAACCGAGCCACCAAACAGTCTCCACCAGGATCCAGACCCTCTTGGGGCAAACTTAACCAAAAGGAACATCCTTGAGAGGCTTAAAACTTACAGTCCTCACATTAGACACAACGTAATGGTTCCCCAGAGCACGCAGACGAGTAGCAATCTGCGAGATCTGGAGATACTACAAGGAAGCAGGAAAAGGAGGAAATGGCCTTACCTGTTCCGGCCCCTGAAAGCAGATTCGGCACAGCGGGGTCCTCATGCCACTGTCCAGGCTGCTGCCCAGTGAGTAGCGGTCCTCCGCCTTCCCCTTACAGAAGTCATCTGAGGAAGCACTGCTGAGCAGCGAGGCAGGCGGCTCTGTGGCCGAGACACCCCAGTCATCTTCCACGGAAGAAGGTGGCAAAGGTGGTGGAGGTGGCAGAGGAGGGGTCTCCCTGCCCACCCCTTCTCGAGGGCCCCTCCAGCCTGCCCACCCTCCGGCGCCCAGAGCCGGAAGGGTATTGTTGTTGGCGGTCAAACCTGGGGGCTGAGGGTCTCCGTGCATGGGCAGGGGTGCTGGAGGGGGACGTCGAAGTAGGAAAACCTTCAGGTCATTGAAGAGCATGCGGCAGCGGCACTTGAGGAGACCCTGGTGGCGCAACATCTGGGGAGCTGGGGTGCACAGTCCAGAGCGGTACCAGGCACAGCAGTAGCAGCAGCACCACCACCAAAGCAGCCCACTCAGGGGCATCAGCATGTGCCCAGTGGAAGCCGGGAGGCCGGGAGCCCGGAAGGGGCAGCTGAAGTCTTTGCAGAAGATAGGATGGTTTTGAGGGGTCCACAGAGTATCTGTGTTATGCGGGAGTCTGCTTTCTCACTGGTTCCTCCAATTAGCAAATAAGGTAGTCCCGGGACTGAAGACTGCGAGTCACTGATTCTGAACTTTGCCTGGAAAGCCCAACAAAAAAAGCTTCTCTTGCTTCCACCCCACCTCAACCCAATCTTAGGCTTTGCTCAGGGAGCCTCCTTTCTGCCTTTGACCTGGGGGCACTGGTAGAGGGGGAGGGGAGATTAAAAAAAATGTTGAGGATAGTCAGTTAGGGCCTTGAGATGTAAGTCTAATTGCTAGAAAGTTCCCCAGGAGAGGATTATTGGGTTGTTCTCAAATTCATAGAAAATGGGCAACCTTTCTTGTAGATATAAAAAGGTGGGGAAGATTATAAATCAAATTTGGAGTGGACTGAGCTGGGATGAGGGCACACTAGCTCCATGAAGAATTGAAGACTGCATGTGTGAGAGGGGTAAAATTGTTTCCTCAGGTAGCCAGAAATTGGTTGTGGGAGGGGGTGATCAAGAGAGGAGGATTGTAAGGTAGGAAGGAGAGGGGGTTGGGACAAGTTTTAATTCTCCTGGGCAGGAAACTGGGGCAATTAACCCCAGAAGCACCGGTGTTGCTTTTAAGAGAGCAGTTGGGTGGGGGGAAGGGACCACAGGTGAACGTGGCCAAGGGTCTTGTGCTTTGCCTGCAGCCGGAGGGCTGCACAAACAAGGGAAAGCTAATGGGAAGAATAAAGGTGGGGAACTAAGGAACCGAGGAAGGGGAGGAGAGAAAGGGGGAAAAGACAAGATGGTTTAACCCTTGCAAAGCGCCTTCTTCCTGGAAGGAGGGTGTGTAAGGAGGAAGGCGGGGGAGGCGAGAGGCAGTGGAGCAGAGAAAAGGGGCAGAAAAGAAGGGCGTGTAGAAAGGGAAAGAAGGAAGTAGTTACATGACCTCAGCCTTCAGCCCACCCTGCGACAGTCTGTAAATCCTCGGACCCCTCCCCTGGGCTCCATCAAAGGTCCCTTCCGGCGAGGGTGAGGGGCGAGAGCCGGGGGAAGGGCAGGTCCGGGCAGCTGTGTGGCCTCGCGTTCTCCTCCTCCTCGCCGTCCTCCGCTGGACGGTGGTCGCCCTCCTCCTGGTCTGGCTCTGGGTCTGCCCGCGGCGGCCGGCGGCGAGGCTGCTGCGAAGGCGGTGGCGACTGCTGGTCGGCGGCGTCTGGGTGTCTCCGGGGCGGGGGCTCCTCTGGCTGCCGCTCGCGGTCCGGCGTGGCTGCGCCTCCAGGCTTCATGGTCCTCCTCCTTCCCGGGGGGCCGGCCCTGAGCCCCCGCGCCAGGGCAGCGCTGCCATGCAACCAGAGGCGAGGCCGGCGGAGGGTGGGGGAGGCTGAGGAGTGGGAGAGGGAGCTAATAATAATAATAAAACAAAATGAGATGGTACTAGTGGAAGCAGCAATAATCCGGTTCTCCAATGATCGGAGCGCGTGCTCCTGGATGGGGTGGGAGCGGAGGAGGGCGGCTGCGGGGTCCTCCCCGCGGCTCTGGCCCCGCTACCTACCCCCACCGAGGGCGGCCTCCCCGGCTCTCTTCGCCCCCAGCCCCCACGCCGCCGCCACTCCCTTCTCGCCACCGCCTCTGGCTGGCTGGGCTCGCTGTTGCTACCTCTCTCGGCGGATGCGGCGAGGTAAGGCTGGGCTGCGGTGGTGCCGGTGGAAGGTGGGGAGAGGGGATCCAAGCAGGGTGGCCCAGGTGGGATGGAGTCCGCACTTGGTTCTCGGCTGGGCGCTCGCGACTCCCCCAAACCGTATATAAATATATTTCTCCCCTAACAGGGGAGAGGAAGCAAATCAGATGCCAGGCTGCTGCCAGGTGTTGTCTCGTCTTCCGCCCGTTGCTCAGCACCCGCCGCCGCCTGCCTCGACCGCTGCCCCCTTGGCTCGGGTCCCAAAGGGGTGGTGCTGGAGGAGAGGTGGTGTGGGCTGCGAGTTGACTGTCTGAGGGCTGGAAACAGTGTTCGTGGAGCGAGGAAACCTGCCAGTTATCTCTGCCGCCGCCGCCGCTGCTGCATTCAGCACCCCAGGCGAGTGGACAGCTCCCGCCCAGCCCCCGCGTGCCCTGCAGGTGGGGGCCAGGCGCAGAGGCGGAGGGACGGAGAGAAAGAGGGTGAGAGGGAAAGAGGCTAGAGAGAAAGGGAGCCCTAGGAGAGAAGAACTGAGCGAGGGAAGGGGGTGGGGAGGGACCAAAGGAAAGGGAAGGAAGGAGGAGAGGGAGGGATTTAGAAAAGAAGGGAGGAGGGAGCGAAGTGGAGGTAGAAGGGGGGAAAGGCAAGTGGGCTGGAGGGGAGCAATTCGGGTATGAAGGTGTATTTTCCCCCAGCTGGGAAGTATCGGTGGAGAGTAGGGTTGTAGAATTTCTTCCCACTGTACACTATCACCGCCCCCACCCACCCCTCAACGCACATACACAGCTTCTGCATCTGAACCGGAATCCATTGCTCTGCCCATATAAACATTTTAAGCTGATAACAATCTTCAAGCTTTGGAAGAGATAAAGTTTTATGAATCTCGAGCCCATACTGGCACTTAATGGAGAACAAGCCCTTCATGGCTAGGAATTTATGAGAAGAAAATACTTCCAACAAGAAGGGGAATGCTAGCCCCATTTTTGCCAGATTCTTCTAGAATTTAAGCTCCAGTGGCAGAGGTTTATTAAAGGTGGTCCATTTCAATCCCATGTGTCTAGGTCAGTGATGGCATGTAGTAGGTGCTCAATACATTGTTGAATGGATTATGACCACCACCTCTATCACTGGAGTCATCATTAATTACTCCAAGCCATAGACCTCTTCCAATTGTGGAGCATAAGAATGTAAAGTAATGTTACAGCCTCATCTTAACCAATATCTCCAGCCTTTCGCTGAGCCACTGACAAAATGTAATTTTAAATGAATTTGAAATTTCTTTTCTTATTCTTTGTCTGACTCATGTCACCCTACTCCATTCTCCTCAAAAAAGTTCCTAGTGAGCAGAAAAGTAGAAAATTAGTCCCCAAATGTGATGAGCAAGAAAAAGAAAACTTAAAGTTGTCTGTACAAATGCTCAATTTTTGCAGCATTGCTTTCTTGCCTCTCCTTAAAGCCACCCCCTCCTCTCTTTCTCTCTCTCTCTCTCTCTCTCTCTCTCTCTCTCTCTCTCTCTCTCCCTCTCCCTCTCTCTCTCCCTCTCTCTCTCTCTCACACACACACACACACCATCTCCAGGGCCATAGACTTGCACAAGCTATCCCAATGAGTCATCCATACAGCTGTAGCAATGTCCTTAGAAATGGTGAAGCCATAGACAGAATAGCATTCAAAATCTCTGCACCAAAATATCATTGGCATGGAGTTCAGCCCTATGAATCAAGAGAAAATTCCCCCCTTTGCTGCCATCTCCTTGAGTGATTCATTCTTACAAGCTTTCAGGAGCAAGTACCTAAGTCCAGGTCGTGGCTGCTTGTCTGAATCATACTTCAGTGCCCACCAAGGCAGTGGAGACCTGGCCCAGAGTGAGGGATTTGAAGATGATACTGATGCTATTAATAAGTACAAAATAATGTGTATTTTATTGGTATCCACACATGACCACTGTGCTGTAAAAAAAAATTATTTGTTTATAAAAATCCATCTGTTCTCAAAGCAAATTATCTGGGCTCCACATCACCCTGTGCTTGCCTCTGTTGTGAAAATCTCCCTTTATAATAATGGTCTCATCATACATTAATTGCCCTTTTCAAGACTCAGAGCTCCTCGAAGGCAGGAACCAGTATTTGTATTAGAGTCATCAGCACATCATATAGCACCTACTGGTAAAGTGGTGGGTGACCAAGAAAATGAATGCTGATTGAGTGACTGGATGAATGAATGGTCTTTTTGTCTAGTGAAGCTACCATATTTCTCAACTTCAAGTTAGACACATGTGAGAGCTCTCATACATGATGAAATATCTGTTTTACCTAAAGTCAACTATCCATTTTTTGTGCTGGTAAAATGCTAGCTCTAAGAGTGGCATGCAAGTAAATTGGGACAGAAGATAGAAAAGCCATATGAAGTCTGTATTCAGAGTCATAGGAAGGAGCAATACCCATAAGAAGACGGTCTTTCCCTACCCTCCAACTGAAATCAGGATTTCTAGAAACAGAAAGTTGCTAAGAATGGGAAGCAACCACAGGACTGTCCTCAGAAAGGCTGAAAGGCTTGAGAGTTCTGTCTTAAATCCTGAAAAGCACTTCACTGAGTTAGAGCCTCCTTGTGCTGCTGATGAAATAGCGGTTGTGAGCCCCAAGAGTAAAAGCCACAATAAAGAAAATGTTAAATCAAAGAGTCTCCATTTAAGCATTCAAAAAATATTTACTGAACACTAATCATAGGCAAGGCATTGTGCTGGGAGATGTGGGGGACACAAAAATAAATTGGAATTGCATTCTCAAGGGTCTAGTACTATAAATGTTTACATAAGCATAATTGAAGGTATAAAATAATAAATGCTACAAAGGTATTCAAAGTTGTGGAAGTGTTTAGAATAAGGTGGTAATTAATGCTTACAACGGGGCAGCAGTTAGGAGAGAAGTGGGAAGGTTAAGATGCCAGAGCTTTAGGAAAGCCCTTTTCAATAAGTAACATCTGAACTGAGTTAAAATATGTAGAATTCAGAGGATGGAAGCATATTTGTGGGAGTGGAAATGCTGGATACATTAGCTCTTCCATTCAACTAGAGTGGAAGGTACTTGAAGGTACATAGCTGGAAGTGAATTGGAAAGGTAGCTGGAGCCAGATCACAGAAGACTCCAAACACCACTCTGGGAGATTTATTCATTGACCAGGTTCTAGTATTAATGGGTTTAAAGATTTGGAGCTGATTGTGAAGGGCAGAAATAAACTTTATCTCTGAGCAGGTTAATTAACTGGATGGGATTTTACTGCTAACAGGTGAGAAACAATCAATATTTTTCATTTCATGCCAAAAAGTTCTCAGCTCCTTAATAGATTTATTCTTTTAAATGAAGTTGTTTTCAGATATATTTCATTACATGTGGAGATGCTGGGGTCATGTGAATTAGAGCAGCAGAGGAATGAGAGCCACCAAGGAATAGTCTGGAGGAAGAAAAGAGACCCAGAGTTTCTAAAAGAATTATTATGGAGGTCATTGCACTGGTTTCTCCAACCAGGGGAGCCCTAAAACGATCCCATGCTAGCAGCTATTGCTTCTTCTTTACCTAGACAGATGGGATTCAGGCTAGCAGGCATTTTACAGGGACTGAGGAGGTGGGGGGGGGGAGGGAGGAAGAGAAAGTGAGCCAGAAAGTTTAGGTAGTTCTGTACCTAAGATCCTACAGCAAAGTATGTGTCAGACAAAGGCTAGAACGTGTACATCTTCTAATCCTCGATACAGTTTGCTTTGCTCTCCATCCTATTGCAGTTGACTCCCTTCAAGCATAAAGTTCAAATAATTACAGAGCCCTAGCCAGCTTGACTTAGTGGATAGAGCTTTGGCCTGTGGACCGAAAAGTCATGGGTTTGATACCAGGCAAGAGCACACATCTCGGTTGCAGGCTCAATCCCTGGCCCAAGTCAGGGTGAGTGTAGGAGGCAACCAGTGGATGTGGCTCTCTTACATTCATGTTTCTCTCTTTGTGTCTCTCCCCCTCCCTTCCACTCTCTCTAAAGATCAATGGAAAAATATCCTTCGGTGAGGATTAATAACAACAAAAATAATATATAATTGCAGAATTACTGTTCTCATGCAAATTATTAATAGCTACCATGTACTGAGCCACACACCTATTCATATGTACTTAGAAACTAAAAATTCTTAAGGAGTCATCCCAAGTTTACTGGATAAGGCTTTCTTGGGGAGCAACCTGGAAATCTGCATTTTTACATGTTCCTTGAACAAGTGGTTTTTTGGTCCTCAAAACTACTTAGGTGGTAGTTATTTTCCACATTATTTTTTTTTATAAAAAGATAAGCTCAGAGAAACTAAGTCTAAGGTGATATAGACAGTGAACACCAATGTTGAAATTCTAATTTAAATTCTCAACTTAAAGTCTATGCTGTTCTTAGGATGCAACATTGAATTTTAAATACAGATACAGTACCCCATACAGTTATTATCTGTCTGACATACTGGGTCCCATGCAGAAAGATAGTTCAAAATTTAGGTTAAGGTGTGACAGGTAGCTTCTAAAAGAGCTCTCAATGATCCCCACCTCCTGGTATTCATGCCCTTGTGTAAGCCCCTCTTTTTTAATGTAGGCTGGACCCAGTAGAATACAGCAAAAGTGATGGGATGTTCCTTCAGAGATCAGGTTACCATCAGCCACTGTGCCCATGCTCTCTGCACCTCAAGGTACTCTACTCTGACCTCAAACAGAGTTTAATTATCCATAGGACAATGCAAGTGTATTGTGAGTGCTCACCAGGAAGAATAAGCATTTTGGTGTGTGTTATTGTGGGCTGAGCTTAAGACCTGGGAGAGCTTCTTTCCAGCCTGTGTGCCTTAAAGATCGCCATGGTGCTTATTAAAAAATTCCTGGATAGATTCTTACGTCTAGAGATTCTGACTTATTTGTCTGGAATGAGGCTTGAGGTTGGTGTTTTCTTTTGTTTTGTCTAGTTCCTTGGGCGATTCTAAAACTGAAACTGGTGGCACTTGAGCTCCATATTGGAGAACACTGGCTCAGATTAATTTCAAAGCCAGGATCCTACCTTCCCTTTATCAGGCACCACAGAAACAGGGTTGGCCATACTCCTCTTAGGAGTTGATCCTCTTCACCAGACATGAGTGAGTAAAAAGCAAGTTCCAAACCAATATCCAAAGGAGGCAAGATAGTGACGTGGAAAAGGTGCAGAGAAGGTATTTACGTGTCACCACTGGAGTCGGGACCACTCCTGGGGACAGGAAAGTATCAGGTGAAGGCTTTGCTCTCACAGAGTTCAGATCCTAGTGTGGAAAACAGGTAAGTGGGCAAACAAGTAAGTTAATTCCATATGTTGATAAGTGCTATTAAGAAACTAAACAGGGTAATGTGATAAGGAATGACCCATTAGCACATGGGTAGACTGGCAGAACTAGGTGGTGAGAAAGGAAAAAATAAACTTTTACTGTGTTTTATTGTGTTAAGAGACAGGAAATGTGGGGCTATTTATTACTGCAGCATAACACAGGAATGGAAACAGAGTCTTGGGTTATAGAGACAGCTTGGTCCCTGTATGACTTCAGGGACTGGCTACAATCTGGGCCTCCATTTCCCAGTCTATAAAATGTCTGCTTGGGATCAGGAGAGCAATGTGGTTTATTCTAACTCCTCCAGTCTATCAAATACACAGCATTCACCTGAATTTGAGCCAAAGCTGCGTATGTGGGTAGAAAATACATCTCTGGTTTCCTTCTCACTTCATGTTCTGGTCACTTGATACCCGCTCAGCACTTCCTCTTCCTCTCTAAGGCTGCTGAAGCCACCTGTGTGGCCTCCTCTCTCTGGCACAGCCTCAGTCCAGAGCCCTCTGTAGGAGTTTGCCGTTTGGGATGTTCCTGGAGGGAATGGCTGGCCAGCCTGCCCCAAGTCAGCCACCGCCCTGCTGCTCATCTCCGGTACTGACGACCGCGCAGGCTTCTCTGAGCTCTTTTTCTGGGAAGACAAATGGTGTTATTAAATATTCAAAAAGCCTAAAATAAAGCAGTGGACATGAAAGACAGAATCGGCTTTTCCATGGTGCTGAGAGGGCAGTTGGCTGTGAAGAGTGAGGCTGGGACAAAATGGGAGGTGGTCTCAGTCGAAGATTCCCCAAGCTCCTCTGGATGTGCTACTGATGTGTCCATCCCAGTCTGGTCCCAGAGCATAAGGGCTTTTGTCCATCACAGGGAAAAAGCTCTGCCCTCTTTGGTAACATATCCTCTTGTCCCAGCGACATATGACCAATCATAGAATTCTAGGCGCCTACAACGCATGTGTACACAATCATACATCATCCGAAATAGAAATGTACCACATACTCTCCCAGTTCACATGAATGCTGATACTCACATCCTGCAAACTTTAGCCATGCACACATAACCCATCTTAACAGAGAGCCCACTTAATACAACGTGGCTTTAAAAAGAGCCTGTTTGAAATAGCTACCCAATGTGCCCATGTAGGATGAAAGCCAGACTGATAGAACTATTGATTTTTAGATACATACACAGCAATAATAAAACCTTGAACTTATGTAGCCTCCTTCCCTTGGGAAATTCACAAGATATGTCAGGGTTTCCCTGTGTAGAAAGCACAAAAGTTTACCCGTGCCTGAGATGTGAAGCAAAATGGATATAAACATAACGAGAGCCCCGTAGCATCATGGTTTATGCCACCTTGTACCTCATACACCCCAAGCATCTGAATTGACAACCCCCTAAAGTGTTAAGACTTGAGATCTATGAATTATAACAAGATGGCTATAACACCATCCATGGACATGCTGGATCACGTGCTCTGGTAATATTACTTGGAGGCTTTTTAAAAAAATTGTACCTACATTTCCTGCAGTGTTTATCATTTCTACCTTTTCAGATTCATATAGTTATGGCTATAGAGAGCCATTACATGAATGTATAATTGTGTGAAAATCCATTAAGCTACCCACTTAAGATTTGTGCACTTTGCTCTGTGTAAGTAAATGCCAAATACTTCAATGTAAAAATGCAAGAAAACACAAAGTTGCCTCTTGAAATCCAGGATGCATTCTCATTGACCAGAGTCCAGGTAGTAAAAGGTACTTAGTATGTGGGTGTGTCTCAGAGTCTGTTACAGCAGATAGGGTGGGAAATGGAGTCCTGATGGGGTGGCTCATGGTTGTGTAAACCTGGCCACTTCACTTAACCTCTCTGTGCTTGTTTCCTGCAAACAAAATAGAACCGATCTCATAGAGTGACAAAAAGACTAAGGGAGAAAATTGTGGACAGCCTTTCACCGTAGTCCACTCAGTCACAGTTGGTTATTCCCATTATGATGGTGGCGACCCCCTACTCCTCCTTGGGGATCGTTTATGTGCCACAAACTCGGCCCCCCACCTGCCCCCATTAGCCACCTGCAAAAGAAAAAAGGATTAAATATAATCAGGGTCCTAACTAATGATTTTTAATGCTCTGTTAGCCCAAACATATCCACAACAGCCAGACAAATAAGTTTTGGTTTTCCAAACCCCCAGCTAGGTAGGCATTGAGTTTTTCAACTTCCTTAGCAAACATCACCTCTTCCCATCACCAGTGGTCCTGCCTATCATGCTGTTATTACCTCTGCTCTCCTTTTATGACCTCGAGCCTCCAGCGCTGCTCCTGGTGCTATCTCCCAGAAGATTCCCTCTATGGACACCCCTGCAGGTGTGTGCTCAGAAAAACTAGCCCAGCCATCATTCCCACTCACTCCTGTGGGGAACAGCATGTGAATGGGGTGTGAGAGTGTGTTTGTGCACAATGAACAAAGCAGAGGCTGTGTACAAAAGGCCTGGGTATGCACCCAAGGCATGTCCCTTAATGCAAGTCACCCAACCTCTCTGAGCCTTGGTGTCCTTATCTACAATAGAAGATGGGACCCTTGGAAGGTTGTGGTGAAAGTGGACTAAGTAATTACCTAGCACATGCCTGGCATTAACACAGTGGAAGAGAAACATGGACTAGTGGGAACTAAGGCGTTTGTTGCCAGTTCCTTGGGTAAGAGATTGTTTGCAGTTCTGTTGGGCAGGATAACTTCTTCTTAACCGAAATAAAATCCCATGCTTTCTTGAGAATTATCTTCTCTAAATGTTTTCATTGAGAGGTTGGTCTTGGCTAAGGCTGCCAAGATTTGTGCAATTCACACACATTCGAGAAATTCAAGAACATTACCTCTTACTGACAGACCATAATGACTGCAATAAACAGGAAAGATTTTGTTCTAATAAACAAGTAATTATAGTTGACAATAAATGTGTAAACATGATGCTAATTAGCAGATCCTCTCATTGCTGTTCCCAGTGTGGGGACCCATATGCACATGCTTGGGATTATGGGTAAGAGCAGGCACTGTGTTCCAACCCATAAGTATATGAATATGTGAGCAATAGAGGCCACCTACTTTGTCAATCTTTTTTTAATAGAAAATATTATCTTCTTCAGACAAGAAAATGGGGTCACTTTAGCACCTTGGTTTCCAATGTAATCCTTTTAAACTCAGGTTTCCTAGTAACTTTGAGGGACTGTTATTTATTACACAAAGTGCCTTTAGATTTGGGGACACTGGCCTCATTACCTGGCTTTTTTCCAAACGTAGATACAGAGACATGACCTGTCGATCCTTGGGATTTGGAGTGATGGGTGATTGAAGGCTGAAAGGAGAAGAGGGTTAAGATTAACAAATAGTCTTAAACCGTAAATGGTTTTTATTGAACCACGAAAGAGAGAAGCCACACAGAGAGACAGTGACCCTGCCTGCTTGCAGGCAGAAGGGCTGTATGGAACTTCTCTTTCAAGGAAGAGAGGATTCCCATTCATGCTTCCCTAGAGATGGGTTGCAAAATTGTTATCAATAAGGAACAGCTACAATTAATTCCCAAAAGTAAAAATCCTGAAGGACCTAACTATAAAGTTTTCTAAAGAATCCTCTTTTTTTATTTTCTTTCTTTATTTATTGATACAACGAGCAAAGGAAAGGTAGGTATAATTTTTTGCTAATCTCTTTCCTAAATCTTTTATTCTTCTAGTAAGAGTCCTCATGAACATCACTTTTCTGTCTTAGGTCCCCTTTATCTGATCATTTCAAGGC